GTGGTTATTTGGAGTAGCAACGACAAACGTTTGAGGATGTCAAAACTGTAGTGATTGGCTTGTTTCCTTTCAGCTTTGCTTCAATTTCCAGGCCCGAGCAGACCGCGCGCGGAGCAAGCCGATTTTCAATCGATCGACTATCTCTTGGCTGCGTCTAAAGCAACTCGTAATACACTTCTCTATAAACTCTCGATATACAAACTTTAAGCATGGACCAATACTTAAATAGGAAAGAGCCAAAAACAAGCTTTATTGGATGGCATATAAATTGTAACCTCGCTAAACAGCAGTTATATGGTGTACGACAGCAGTAGCATTCGCTAAGATTTTGAAGCGAATCATGTTTGCAGTTTCCACATGAACACCTACAATAAAGGTAAGAGAATAACACTATTCTGTTCTGTTTAATTTTCACTGAGAATGCGAATAATACATTTCGTAGCGACATGACAGCAATCGCATTTGTTTACATTTACGCAATACTTGGCAACTTGCGACTCACTAAGAATCCCTCACATGTTCCGTGCCGTCCAATCTTTTTTGAAGCATTCGTTTCTAAATCTTCATTTTCTTTAACTTCTTTGTTGTACTTTTTTAGCCATTCTTCGTCCGCCAAGGGTTCATCAGCACACATATATGCCATTTCATCGAGGCTTTCATTGCTTGTTGTGCGATCTACAACAGGCTACAACAGCCGACTCGATCTCATCTTCCACCTCCATGTCGTATTCCGGAATAAAACATGTCTCAGAATCTTCGGAATCATAGTTCGACTCCGAATTTCCGTCGCTGGAAGACATATTTCTTTGTGGGTAAAATTTCGATAGTTATGAAGACGTAAAGAAAAAGAAATCATCCGAAGAAGTTTCTACACAATGTAAATCCCTCACAAAAGCCTCTTATCGCTATTCAGAACGTTCCCGCCGTTACGTCACAAGATCTCGACCCAGGACCCGAATAATGCGCGGCCGAGGGACAGAAAATTCCAAGTTTAAACGGCTGTAGAAACGCGGGGATTTTATCGATTGCGATAATTTTTTCGCAGACGTGATCAGGGTAGCAAGTAACTTTATTTAAGCGAAAAAAACTTTTTGGGGTTAGTTGCACTTTAAGGCTCAGCAGTGGCTTATCTAGGGAGGGGGCCTGAGAAATAAGATGTTCACTTTTGAGAGTATTAAAATAGGCTTAAAAATTTATTTAAGCCTGAGTTTCACTTGGGGCATATCATAAATCCTCTTTAAAGGGAGTGTTTCACGGTTCGGCGCATGTGCCGGCGTATCAACTTTATCCGTTGAAAAACCCCACTCACATGTACTTCTCGATACTTCAGTAATCACATAATGTAATTAGTCCAAGAAAAACGCAGAATAACCAAAATTCACCAAAGATTTCAACGGATTACACCAAGAATGTCGACATTGAATATCAGAATATTACCAGAATAAAGTGTTGGCCTGAAGGATTTATTCTGGTAATTTATTCTCACTGGTTCTTGGTGTAATCCATTGAAATTTTTTGTGAATTTTAGTTATTTGTCGTTTTTCTTGCACTAATTATAGTATGTGATTACTGAAGTATCGAGTACACTGTGAATGTTTTTTTTAAAACTGATACAGTAGTGATAAGCCGGCACATGCGTCGAACCGTGAAAACAATCCCTTTAAGACCCCCAGGGGCTTATTTATTTCAAGCACGTTTGAGGGGAGCTTAATAGAGAGAGGGGGCTTAAAGTGCCCATAACCTTTTTTATTATTTTCTCATCTGAATCTAAACATCTCCCAAGGAACTTCTGCGAAAAATTTTGCAATTTGCACAAAACGTGAATTTTTTAAGGCCGAGTAATACGGGCAACATTTGCTTTCAACTTGTCGCGCAACATGCAAGTTGAAAAGTGTTTTTGCGCGTATTGCCACAGTGTTGCAAGTTGCGGCAACATGTTGCGCGAAGTAGACAGAGTTCAACTTTGAGCAACATGTTGCCGCAACTTGCAACACTGGTTATATGCGCAAAAACACTTTTCAACTTGCACGTTGCGCGACAAGTTGAAAGAAAATGTTGCCTGTATTACTCTGCCTTTATGAATATTTCAAATCTTTGTCATTGTGCAAATGTGGTCCACCCCCCTGGGATGGTCGCTGATAAGTGCATTAGGGTTAGCAGTTGACCTGCACAATCTGCAAAATATACCTGCCGCTGTATCGATGTATGATTACCGTCAATTTCACTGTTACACAACCTTCGAAATCAACTCCTCTGAGTGGTTTGCAAAAGATTTCCGTCAATCATACATGTGATACCTTATATGGAAGTGTTTGATTTTACCACGAGTAAACACCTACCATATAGGGTATCACATATGATTGACAGAGATCTTTAGATGAGTTTTGATCTCGAAGGTCACGTAGCAGTGAAATCGACAGTAAGGGAGTACTTGCCATAAGCTAGTGATAGACATAGAATTTTGAAAACCTTGGCAGGCATATCTTTGGCATGAGTTGAACATGGAATACACCCTGGCATGCCAATCAAACAGAAGTAACATTACAACAACAAAACAGTACAAACAATCAGTTCTACTTTTATTTTGTTTAGTTTCTTGCAGTGAGTCCATTGCAATTTTACAATTTTAATATTTGGAACAATCCATAACTTTACAAGATACCGCTGTATACATGTAGATTACAAAACTAAATATTTTAAAAGAACTCTGTATATAAAGTTTCAACTTGTTTACCACTTTCGAATTCATCGAGACTGGCAGTACAAGTTTCAAATCTAGAAATTCTTGAGGAACTCCTCAGCACAGATACGCGCCCTCGCATTGACAGCCAACTTCATTTCACTGATCTCCTTGTCTATCTCCTCCATGAACTGAATAACAAAATCGACGAGCTTGTGCTTAAACATTTGCTCCGTGTGGAAATTGGTGATCAGGAAACTAATGTCGTATCCTTCAACGGGCTTCCTTCGTAGGATGAAGAAGTTTTCTGCCCGCATCATCATAAAACGCATAAACTTCTTGCACAGGATCTTTTCAATCTCGTCAGCTTGTTTCACTGCAATGCTTATTCTCAGAGAGTTGATGGAACCTTCGATGAGCACCTTCTCTTTTTCATTTCGGCTCACGACCACTGGTGTCAGAAGCAGCTCCTTGCTGCTACGAACCTCCACTTCTGGTTTTGTTGTGCCTTTCCACCACTTGAGAATCGAAGTTTTCCAAGCACATCGACGCTGTGAGTGTCGAGCGGACGGCGTTAAGGTAAGGACGTAAAGTTGCAGCCATTGTTTCGTCTAAAAAGAAGACAAATTCTGCTGAAAATTTCACAAACACACCAATGGCGGACTTGGCGGAAACAAAATCTCCTCCCTCTCACTAGTGCGCATAATCACGTGGCATTCCGCTGGCCAACTTGCACTGGCACAACAGGAAATCGTAAGGCATTGTGGGATATCATCGTGTTCGACGGCCATTTTCAATTTCTAGTTGTTTTCTTCTGTCTTCTACCGAAAATTATGCCATTTTTTTGGCGGTAACGCGATCGGTTCTGTCATCATGACTCTAAGCTTTCCTTTCTACAGGAACCAGATAAGATGGCAGTGTTATTTTTGTAAAGCTGTAATCCAGAGGTTTAATTCGTAAGGGTGTGTTTTGGACAGTAGCCTGACAAAAATGAGTACTTGTGTAGACTCTTTGTCCTTAGCTCTTGGACAAATCAGCTTTGCAGTCAGCGATTTAACAAAGAAAAATTACAAAGCGACTTTGAAGGAAATACATGAGGTAAGCTTCAATAGATAAGGTCCCTTATCTTGTACATGCGTGCTATAATTTATATAAACATTGTAAAATTTTTTATGCCCAGTTATTTTTGTTTTGCATTCAGTGCCACAAAAGAAATTTTTTTAGATCTCCAATTAGGCAGCTAGAAAAATTAAACATCGTCCTGTGGATTTTTGTCTAACTTGTGAAGACAAGATGAAGTTAGTGTATGGTTCAGGGTTGTCAATTTTTAAAATTGAAGAGTAATAGTAACTATTATTATGGATTTTAAGAACATTTTTACCTTGGTACATTATATTGTATAGCGACGTTTCTTGGTTACAAACACTGACGTCATTTTTGACATTTTTGATCATGTGCACCAAAATCACTCTTGTGTGGACTGTTTTGTGGTTGGCAAAAGAGCTTGCGAGCGGGTGAAATCCTTTGTTTACGGTCAAATTTCCAACATGATTTTTGATATGTGTCAGTATTTGAATTTCCTTCAAACTTTGCCAGTGAAGCATTCTTATATTATTCTAAGTAAAACATCAAAATCGGCCTGGGCGCTTCTCAAGACAGCTCTGAAACAACAGATTTTCGATCATAAATTGCCGTAATACAAACAGTCCACAATACAGTAGTTTGAAAATTTAATTTTTACTTATCGAAAAATCATCGATGCGGCTGGAAAGAGCACCTCGAAATTAGTGATTTGGCCAAGTTTCAGAATGAAATCTTGTATAGAAGTGAAGCGACTGTTGATTGAAGAACACTCACATTCCATATACCGGTAGTTGTTTTCCTTGCTTTTTGCCAACCATGATATCGTGTTACAGTGCTCGTGACAGGGCTCGTGACGTCTCGAGAAACATCGCTATACCAAAGAGGTACATGCAGTTTCTTGAACACAGAGCATACCAGCAAACTAATATTATTCATAATTATTTACAGTAAGCTTACATGTACTTGAATACATACTGGGGCGTTTAGGCCTTTACAATGTAGCTCAATGACATTAAACATCCAAGTCAGTTTGCAAAAAAATCAAAATAATAATTGCATGGTTTGGTAGAAAAATGTCAGGAGAGTATTAATGAATCCTAAAGGAGAATGGATGGTTAAGATATCAATTGGGGAGGATTATTTGATTGTTCTTACTCTTCGTTGGAATAAAAATCAAATTGAGAAAGATAATATTCAGTCAGTAATTACACAAGCTACTCGGAAAAATAATTCTGAGTTTTCCCAACAGGAGTCGAACCTACATGTATGAACTTCTGCACACAGGTTGGATGCCCTACCACTGAGCTACAGGAGACTCATGAGAGCTTATACACGTAGGTTGCATATACATGTATACAGTATGGCCTAAGCTCCCACAAGTCTCCTGTAGCTCAGTGGTGGAGAGTCGAACCGGTGTGCGGAAGGTCATAAGTTTGATTCCTGTTGGGAGAACTGGGAAATTTTTTCCGAGTTGCTTGTGTCACTGACTGAATAATATCTTTATCATTTTGATCCTTGTGCTTACTGTTGTGTTTCTCAGTGTTTGTATGGACTCTAATATTATGTTAGTGCTTATCCTCGCATCGCATCGCTAGTGAAAACCAGGCTTTAATCAAACAGAATACATCAATATTGAAATTATCAGTAACAAATTTGAAATATTTCTGAAATTATCATAACTGATAAATTAAAGTGATTTTGAAGTTTTTAATGCTAATTGTGGATTAATCTTTCAGCTGATTGAGAAGCATGGTTATGAAGCAGAGCGCCACTTATTCCGTTGTTTATTTTCCTTTATCGACTTTGCTGGTGACGGCAAAAATAATGGCAAGGACTTTCTGCAGGTGAGATTTCTTTGGCATAACATTTAGTTTAACTGCAGGTATGCACGGCGTATTATAGACATGAGGATCATCCTTCTGAGAGCTTGTGTAATAAACTGATATGATTTTCCAACCAGTTGATGCAAATTTGTAATAATTATTATTATTAATGCCCTCCCTCCCTGTAGTGGGACACATTGATCACGTGACTGCCTGCAAGATCTCTTGCGCGAAACACATGGCAGTTTTGAGAGGTTATGTTTAGTCACGATTAAAGATTGTTTTTGTTATGGAACTGATGTCTAATTCTAAAGCTTAATCCCCCTTTAAACTCATCAACAACAGATGAGCTTGGGGAAGGTGCCTGTAAGGTTGGTGGAGCCACATGCAAGACGAGTCGCGCGCGTAGGGTAACCATGGCAACCTGAGAGCGGCAACCACCAGACACCGTCACACTGATAGTCAGTGGAAACAACTACATACTCACCCAATACTTACCAAACGGGAGGGATGGGCCGGGAGCAAATACTTCGAGCGCCGACAACGAAGGGCAACACGCTCGAAATGGCTTGACATCCACGGGATGGCTGTAAAACCACAAGGGCCCTGCAAAAACGCCCCGGCCACCCCGCACCCTACGATTGTGCGGGATACCGCTGGCCCCTATTGTCGAGCGTTTAACTTAGCTTGAATTCAAATACAACCCCAATTAAACTCATCAACAACAGATGAGCTTGGGAAAGGTGCCTGTAAGGTTGGTGGAGCCACATGCAAGACGAGTCGCGCGCGTAGGGTAACCATGGCAACCCTGAGAGCGGCAACCACCCAAGCCCCGAACTCCAAGGTGCTTGGAGAGCGAAGGGCCCGCGAACAGGGTGGGCAAGGGACCGAACTCCCCAAACCTTCCAAGCACCCACCCCCGCCAAGAATTCACTTGTACCCATACATACCACACATATGCAGAACGCGAGAACTCGGAAACAGCCAAACAGTAAATCAGTCCACCGTACGGTAATCGTCACCACCGTCCAGTAGCCATAACTAGACTGGACCTGCTAGGATGAGTGTCCGTGAAGACTTAACCACACCCGATTAGACGCGACGAGTGCTGGGGGAGCCCGAGATAGCCCGCCAACCAAAGTCAAATGGCGGTCGCGCCAAGACGTCATAACGGATGCTATGGGACCCAGCGTGTCCACCTGCCGATGACCAGATCAGTGACCGGATCCAGTGTGTAGAGAGGGCTGCCGAAAGAGCCTGCAAAGAACATACCCACCAATGGCCAGGAGAATGTCCGAACACCGAGAGGAGTAAGAGCTGCTGTAAACGCCCGCAACCAGAGAACCTGCCAGCCGAAGGCCCGGTTCGCAAACGAAAGCATTACACGATAAGGGCTAATGCACGAGCCCACACATCCAACCTGCCAGTCGATGGCCAGGTTCGCGACCGAACACAGTACGTGAAAAGGGCTGAAGCACGAGCCCGCAGATCCCAACCTGCCAGTCGATGGCCAGGTTCGCGACCGAACACAGTACGAAATAAGGGCTGTTGCACGAGCCCGCACACCGAACCAGCCAGTCGACGGCCAGGTTCGCGACTGAACACAGTACGTGATAAGGGCTGAAGCATGAGCCCGCACATCCAACCTGCCAATCGATGGCCAAGTTCGCGACCGAACACAGAACATGATAAGGGCTGTTGAACGCGCCCACCACCCAAACCTGCCATAGGAAGGCCAGGTTCGCGATCGAACCCAGTACGTAATAAGAGCTGTTGCATGAGCCCGCGAACGAAAAGCCTGCCAGCCGAGGGCCAGGTTCGCGACCGGATACAGAGACGGAGTGTGGCCTGCTGCACGAGTCTGCCACAGCCTGCCTACACACTATGTGAGCTGCTGTGAAAGCTTGGCTAAAGAATCAGCTGGCGTCCGGATGTACAGCTGATACGCGTTACTAGACCAACGCCCTAACGCTTGGATAAGATGATCTGGGACCCGTTTCGGGCAGCCACAGTCGCCGCCCCAATTCGGAAGCTATGGCTGGAAAAGTTACCTTGAAGCCCTGCAGAGGATAAAATACGACGAAGCCAGGATGATAATGTAGCTCGTGTCAATGGCCGACCATCTTGATGAAGGAACAACGGGCCCGCAGTGTTGCCCCTGACTGCCAAATAAGCCAAGAGAGACTGTATCGCACACAACGGGGAGCTGCCCCTGCCGATATGAATTGAACAACCCTTACGAAAAGGATCAGTTTTTGAAGCCTTAATATTGATTCGCAGGCATGAAGGATTGACCGTAGAGTCCACTGCCACATCAGCCAGACCCAGGTGAATGTCCGACGAAAAGCTGGCCAAGTTGGGAACTGTGAATTCCGCTGAACGCAGAAAGCCGAAGTACGCCAGGTTACATGCCGCCCAAAACATGCAATGATCAGGGAGGGTGAGATCCAGAGCTTTAACTATTAGTAACATGACAGTATCCGTGACCGGTAGGCGTCGAGCGGCGGAATCCCCTTGTGATCTCTTAATCCCTCTTAGCACTCGTTGCAACCTCAGGCAATTGAGGAGAGGGTCTGGACACCCTTGCTCGATATGCAAAGAACGAACCGCAGACATATACACCTTGATGGTAGAATGTTGCACCGTACGAGCCAAAAAGGTGGCAAACAGGCACAACGTCCATTCCTCTGTTGGGCAGGGGGAACCCGTAGCGTGTACTTTTCCGAGCTGGCTGCAAAATTCGTAAAACCTCTTCTGACCTGACGCATAGGAGTTGCGTGTAGAGGAGGCCAAACCGTGGACGAGGAAGCTCCGACACTGAGACTCTAAGGTTGCAGAGTCAATTGGTCCAGGAGAGGAAGAGGGACTACGACTGGGTGTAGCTGGGCCTCTGGAGCCAAACGCCTGAACTCCTGCCAATGAAAACGAGAAAGAGCATCAGCGATACTATTGTGAACACCCGGTACGTGTTGAGCTGTAAAAGTGAAGCTAAACCGAGCCGCAGCGGAAAGTAGCTGGCGCAACAGATGCATTAGGCAAGGGACCTTGGACGTTCTGGAGGTCAACATGTGCACCACAGCTTCATTATCGGAACGGAAGAGAATATGTCTCCTGAACCACTGCGGCCCCCACACGAACGCGGCCACGGCAATGGGGAACAGCTCCTTGTACGCAATGGACTGCTGAACTTGGGATGGCCGCCACGATCCACTGAACCATTCGCGCTTGAAGTAAGCCCCGTAACCCAGCGCGCCTGCCGCGTCCGACGTGACCTCCAGGTCAGATGATGCAGACATGCCGGGGAACAGCCAGAAGTTTACTCCGTGCCAAGAAGAGAGAAATTCATGCCACCATTGCAAGTCCAGATGGAATTCTGCGCTCAAGCGAATTGGGTGGTCACGTTTCCGAAAGCAGCAGAGCAGGTCAATCATGCGCCTCAGGAACGTACGACCTGGCCATACGACTTTTGCTGCATGGTGAAGATGGCCAATCAATGACTCCAGTTGACGCCTGGTACACCAACGTTGAGGTCGCCATGAACAAATCAAGTCCCGTAGCGCCTCCAGTTTTTCGGCCGGAAGACGGGCAGTCTGCTCTATCGAATCTAATTGAATCCCCAAGACGACTAAACGAGTAGATGGACCGACGCACTTGTTGGGGTGAAGGGGAAGGCCAAGCGACCGACAGACCGACAGCGAGGTGTGCAAATTCCTAGCACACCGATCTGAGCTAGGCGGTCCCGCGGTGATAAAGTCATCCAGGTAATGCATGAGTTCCGAAATGTCATGCCCATTCACCAGGATCCACTCTACCATCTCAGCCACCGCACTGAAGATGAACGGGGCAGATCGAAGACCGAAAGGGAGGGCGAGATCCACGAAATACTGGCCCCGCCACTTCATCCCTAATAGATATCGATCGGCCGGATGCACAGCGATATTACGATAAGCGGCTTCAACGTCAAATTTAGCCATCAAAGCCCCGGGGCCGTACTTGGACACCATACGGATAATTTGATCGACCTTGATGTAATGCATGGCGAACTCGTCGGGATTAATGCCATCGTTAACGCTAGAACCGCTAGGCGATGATAGGTCCACAATGAGGCGCCACTTGCCTGGTTGGCCTTTTTTTGGGATAACCCCAAAACTGCTCACGTGTAAGTTTGGGAAGGGAGGGGAGGAAAAGGGCCCGCCACCCTACGAAGGGCAACCTCATTAGCCAAGTACTCATCTATGACTGTGGGATGCTGAGTCGCCGACGAGTTGTTCTTTTTCGCTGACTTAAGGCTACGGGAAGACTGGAACCCGAGCCTAAACCCATCCCGAAGGCCACTGAGGACGTAAGTGACTGCACTCTGGTCCGGGTGCCCCGCCAATTCCCTGGTGAACTCCGTGACATTGAGAGGGCTAACTGCAGACACGGGGTGGAATACGGGAACCGCTAAGACAAAAATTACAAAAGAACAAACTGAGGAAGGCAAGTATGAACGAATCCACTTTATTAACTAGTAAAACAACAAGTCACCATACGGTATAGATGACATAACTGTAACGATTGTATTCTGAACCAAAAATACTAAGACCAACCCTATAGCCCGCAACAATAACCTGGGGAAAAAAACTACCT